CCCCCCCCCCCCCCCCCCCCAAAAAAAATTTATTAAGCTTTTACTGCCTTTGTAAGCATATCACTTTGACATGATTTAAAAATGTATTTGAAAGAAAGGAAGATATGAGATTTCTTGTTTATTAACAAAAGTCATTGGATTATTATAGTTATTATAATACAGTAGTCCCTCGTTTATCGCGGGTGACCCGTACCCTGAAGACCCGAGATAAGTGAAAAACCGCCAAGTAGGAATAGTAGTTTATCTTATTACATATATATATACACACATGATATATGCATTTTAAACGCTTCCCACATTCTTGCAATATTCTAAACAATGTTTCTAAACTCTAAGCGCTCTAAAAGAGCACAGAATGTCAAGATTTAGCTTCCTGCCTCCTTTGCTCTTTGCCGCCTGCAAGCGCTCTTGGCCACGCCCACTTCTCCGTTCTGCACGGTGAACAGCTGATCAGCTGCAGCAGGAAGTTTATCCTACAGTGTGGGCTGCACAAAGGTGCAGGAGGTGCGAAAAAAATTTAAATAATTTCTTTTAAATTAAAAATCCCATGCTGATCGTGCGACTCATCCATCAATCAGCCAAATGTGTGTCATGTCCAAACTTACAAATGTATTTTGAAAAACCGTGATAGAGTGAGTCCACGATAAACGAACCGCGAAGTAGCGAGGGACTACTGTATTTTAGTTATTATAGTTATTCACGGTCGATGGCCACGCACGTCCTCTGACGCAGCGGCTGGGTCCAGTTAAGCCACAGGTGAGTTGCTGGCAGTGATCCATCTGGACTTTTTTGTACCTCTTTCAACCGTCTGATTAGCGAGCGGTCAAACGGCCACGAGCGGCTGGTGGTGATCCAAATTGGATCATCAGCTGCGCATGTCCGCTGATGCAATCAAAAGCTCAACACCGATCTGGCCCGCCCATTCAGCACATTATTTTGGTCCGGCCCAAATTGTGGGTCGGGCCGGGTCAGAAATGACAGCTCTAACACTCACACAGCCATGGGTAAAAATGTTGTCACTCTGTTCTGACAGTGGGCGATAAAAATGCTAAACATGTTTTTGTACCTTTTTAAAATGCCAAACATCAATGACACATTCCCTTATTGATTGATAATAGGATGATGGCTAAAATGAAAGATATAAGTACGCAGCTGCGCTCAGGCAGCGTTTGCTGCAACACTCAAGGCAACAGGGAGGCCTGGAACACATGCTCCATCAATCACAATCTTCTTCTATTTTTCTCTTTGTATTTAAACTTACGAGACAAAGTGTTACCATTTCACATTAACTGAACATAAATGACCTTTTCAATCAATTTAAGTAAAGATGTTTTTGGACTGAACATCATAACCAGAACTGGAAACAATGCTTACATTCCCGTAGAACCAGTTGGAGGAGGAGCACCGGCTGGAAACACCCATGCACGAGCACTTTTCACAGCCACGGCGATTATCACGCTGCAGATTGTAGAATCCAAGTTTACAACGGTCACAGTTCTCTCCCTCAACATTTTCCTTTAAGAGAGAAAGATGAAAGAAAGTCGGCGATATGAGCGGATGCAGCAACGTTTACGAGCTGTCCTCAAACATGAGCACAGAGCATGTTATTGGGAGTGTTAATGTGGTGAAAATAATGATGACAGGGATAGAAAGGTTAATGCAAAGCATTTGTCATCGTGTGTGCACGCATGTGTAAATGTGTGTGTGTGGATGAGAGTGAGTTTGTACCTTGCATACACAAGGTGTTATACACGGGTCAGTGTTTGTGCTTCCTTCCACGCTGCATTCACACCGCTGACAAGACGGGTAGTCCTTGTAACCAACAGCACACCTGGAAGACAAATAAAATCACCATTAATAAAGAACATGATAATAATAATCAACACAAACTCAACATGGTAATTCTCACAATAACCACTGCTTCTATTTTGCTGAAAAAGCTGTCCCAGGTACAAACACATGCATTATTTTCCTAAATTTCATAGTGAGTAAATGTAGGTCAAATAGATTTTAAACTCTGTTGTGTTGTTTCCAGACTTCTCACCATAAAGAGAATTTGATTAGAGTGGAAAGAATGTATAAAGTTTACAAAAAAAGTTGTGTTAATTTAGTGGGAAATAAAATATTACCAGCATCAGTTACAATAATCTAACCGAATGATCGAGCCCTCGGTTCCAGGGTGAGGTTCTGCCTCAAGTGGAGGAGTTCAAGTATATCGGGGTTTTGTTCATGAGTGACGGAAGAATGGAGTGTGAGATTGACAGACGGATTGGTGCAGCATCTGCAGTATTGCGGACTCTGTGCCCGTCCATTGTGGTGAAGAAGGAGCTGAGCTGTTTGGCCTGTCACGATAAATTTTGTTGGGCAATTAATTTTCTCAGAAATTGTTGCGATAAACGATAATAATGTATGAAATTTGACAATAATAAGTAATTATTGTCAAACTTAAGAAGACATTTTTAAGTTGTTTTGTATATAGTGCCTTTCTTCAACCACCGGATGGCAGTATAAGACCGTTTGAACCGAAGGATGGATAGTGAGGGAGCGAGCGGCGCATCTCTTTAAGAAAAATGGGAAGGAGGCCCCTTGACGTGACATGAGCGCTCTCTCTTTGGTTGTCAAAATGGCGGATGCTCGGTGTAGTTTGAGCTCATTAGAATAGCATTTTTCACACAAAGCTTTTAATTTAAAAAAAAAAACAGTTAAGTTTTCAGCTTCTTTTTGCAGAGAAAAACTTTTTAGATGAAGGCACACATTGCAACTGTGAATTTTGGAGCTTTAATAAGACGGAGGTCGGCCTGTTAGCTTAGCTTGTAGCTTAGCTTCTCAGCTTAGCTGCTTTTAACGATTCAAAAATGTGATTTTGGACGGTTAAAATGGATTTTAAAAAGAAAGGAGAAAGAGAGGGGTCAGTGAAGAGCGCCGTAGTTGAGCTTTATGTCATCCAGTGTCTTCAGTAGAAACAGAGAGACGAAGAAACGATAAAGCCGATAAATGAAAACGAGGTTGATAATTTTCATTTAGCATGCGAATATTCGATTTATTGTTTATCACCACAGGCCTATGAGCTGTAAGGCAAAGGTCTCTGTTTACCGGTCAGTCTAAGTTCCTACCCTCGTCTATTGTCACGATCTTTGGGTGGTGATTGAAAGAACGAGATTGTGGATAGAGGCAGTTGAAATGAGTTTCCTCCGCAGTAAAAATGTACAAATTATAAAATTTTGGAGTCAACTTCAATAAAGACAGCCACCACAGCCAAGTGAGCTTAAGAAAGAAAATCACAGATATTAATTCAATCAGTTTTACAGATATCGAGCTAAAATTTGGTGTAGTAGTCACAAAGCATCACCTTTAACACATATGAACTACTGCTGTCAATCCACTTTGTCTGTTAGCAAAATATGTCATGAAAGTCTTGATGAATTTTAATGAAACTCAAAAACTAATAACTGGATGTATAGCTACAAATTATTAACTTTTGATATCAATTCAACTTAAGAAATTATTCACTGCAAACATGGATTTTACGCTGTAAATTTTGCAAATATTAAGCTAAACTTTGGTATGGTAGTAGCTGAGCCTCATCGCCAACACATACTATGAGTGCTACACATTTTGCTAGATCTTATGAGTCAAGGTTGGGCCAAAAATAACTCTGTAGAAGATGTTAGCATAAATCTACAACATGGTGGTGGGCGATATGCATTCTTAATTGATAATGCTTAATGAATTAATGAATGAAACATGTTTTTAAGATGTTAATCTCCACAGAGTCAATCAAAGCATCAAATAAAACAGCATCTTTCATGTCTCTACTACGGTTATTTATTAAGTGACTTCCTAGTTACGGCCCCAGGCGTGATAATATCATCTACAATTTTAATCAAAGTTTCTGACAATTTCAAAGCACTAACTGAAACAGACACGAGCTGAAAGGTGCTGCTCACCTGTCACTACATGTCTGTCTCTTTCGGTGCGTATGCGTGAGCATGCGAGTCTCTCACCTGTCACATCGTAGACCCCCAAAACCTTCTTTACACCAGCACGACCCTGCTGGCTGACCTGTCAATCAAACACACACAAAGGCACACACAGTTTAAAAAACACCGAGTACAAAAATGGGGAAAACTCTTTTAAGGCGGCTGCAACTTAAACAGCTCGACTAACATAAAAACAGAAATGCATTAAGGTGCAAAATTCTGATTATACAAATCATCTCACATATATTTTTAATAGTAGAAGCTTCTGTACGTTACTAAGCTTTAATAAACCAAATCTCAAAGGATATCAAAATTGGCTAAAAGGAAGCAATGTTAAAATTCCTGCAGGCATCTCTTGAAAACAAGAATTAGATTAGATTATTTATGTTTCAAGATGCAAATTGAAAAGAAACAAGACTGACCAACACCAGGAGAATTAGAGGGAAAAATGTAAAATAATTTGCATACTTGGCGTAGCTTGGCTCGGATCTGCGACGCATGATTGGCTGATAGAACCATGAAGGTCACATGAGCACTGGATGCAAGCGTTGTGCTCATCTGCACTCACCTGGACAAGTGAAGACAAGCATTTGTTTAAGTAGAGCATTACTACTAAAGTAAAGACGCATGCATGTCCATCATACCTCTGTAGCTCTGTAGTAACCAGGAATACAACTCTGACAGTTAATTCCAGCTGTGTTGTCACGGCAGCCGATACAGACTCCACCCCCTCTGTACTGACCGTTGACATCCAGACTGAGGGATAAATCAGCTACTGTCTGATTAAAGTAGCACTCCTCTGCCTTACCATGGCAGTTACACTCTGAAAGCACATACAAATGGAGAGTTGGTGCGATTAAAACTTCCCATTAAACAGAAAACATGTGGCCTCATATCAGTCATCACCGGCATGTTCACACAGCTATTTCCTCACACTGAAGTCTTTTGGAGCGTATCGATTAAAAATATTTTTCAACGATCGTCAACTTTAATATTACTCACATAACTGGGATGGTACAGGATAAAAAGTTAACAAAAAATAATTATAATACTTCGGACAAGCGCCACCAGTTTGTAGTTTTCCTTCAATAAGCCCACTGTAATGTCAGTCAAAAAAGAACTACACTTCCCAGAAATCAACAGTGCTTCCAGCCGCTGCTTTCTGCTGAATTGGAGGGATTGTCTGGCAATGCAAATCTACGCTATCTATGAAGCTCGCAGAACTGGCAGGAAAGTTGCAAATAACCCTGAAGCTTCCTGAAGCTCAATTATCTACGTGCACATCAACCTGGACGGGGCGGTGGGCTTCGTTGCTGCAGGGTGTGTCTGCCGAATCAGAACCAAGCGGATCCGGAACTGAGCTGCTGTTCTGCAGAGCTGGTGAGTGAAATGTTGCATTACTGTACAGTACATATATGTATATTGTTGTTAAAATTACGTAGCTTTAAGAGTTTAGAACATTGCAAGCGTGTGGGAAGGGTTTATAAAGCCTTAAATAAATATAAATACTAAAATAAATATAGCGTTCCTACTTCGCGGTTTTTCACCTATCGCGGTGGTGTGTGTAACGTAACCCCTGTAATAATCGAGGGACTACTGTACTGTTGTTTTGTTGTAATCTTTTTTCATGTAGTACTTGATTTAGTACATTTTGTTTCAGTAAACAGTCCCATTCATTCTTGATTGCATTGTTGTACATCAACCTTCCCCATTGTTTATATTAGTATGAGTACGGCAGCGGTTATAATAATAATAAGCAAAGCAATGAAAGCTGGTAAAGCACGTATTTGCTCTTTTGACAACGGTGCATGTTTTACCATTGTCTAAAGAGCACAAAACTATGTTATCGTCAAGGTTCCAGTACAAAAGAAAATAATAAAATGATTTAAGAAAGTTGTCAAAAACTCTAAAGTTAGATTTAAGCACTCAACTTTCAAGTTCTAATGCAAAACTTGAGCTTTTTTTTTTCCCAATAATAAAGTTGCATCTTTGGGTCAAAGTGAGCCTTAGACACAGCTTTTGGTTATGTTAGAAAATAAAAAAAACAATGTCTGTGGCTGTTTTTAAAGAGAATGGCTCTATTATTTCTCATTAATTGTTTAGTTCTAAAGCCAGAGCCTGGTGAATCAACCAAGGCTGGGTCTTTTAACAACTGTTTGAGCAACTTCTTTTACACGAGCCAGGCTGGGTCAATGTCAAGACAGCAGAAGTGGTTATCAGACCTCAATAACTACAGAGCCTTTCAGGAGGTGTAGCCTGTGTGAAATAAAAAGAAAATTACATGTTGTAACCTGAGTTTTATGACTACGGTCTCTAATCTTACTCCTTTACTGCTACACAGCTGATCATGTTTAAGAGATGCAAAGGTGACTTTTGATGGCTTACACACCAAAGGGCGACTCTAGCTGGCTAGAAGGAATGCAAATTTCATTTCACTGATGTACAATTTCAGAGTATATTGTAGGGATGCTGCAGTAATATCATGGTTTATAGAAAGGCAGCATCATAATAAACACAGGCAACTACAGCACCATTGAAACTCTGAAAAATAAGTTTCCAAGCCCAAAAATGTGTTGTGGATGAACCAACATCAGATAAATTTAAATCCATATTGTTCAGATAAGTCACGTTTTGCTTACTTTCGCAGACGTGTCGAGTGAGGAAGGTTCCTGCCATCCAGGGCTGCTGGTGGTAACCCGGGCAACAGTGATCACAGCTCTCCCCACATGTGTTGTGTTCACATTCACAGCTAAACTTCTATATATGCAGAGACACAAGAATGCAGACAAATACAGTCAGTCTACTCTGTTGACTGGAGATGGTCATGGTGAAAGTACTAAACATGGTAACAGTCTGTGGACGGAGCTGAATGAGTCTTTTGAATAATGAAAACCAACAAAATGGCAGACAGGTTGACAGTTTATATCAATCACACAAATACTGTAATTGGGAGCCTTTATTCATAGTCGCATCATATTTTCTTGGATTCCAGAAGTAAAGCATAATGTTGGACCAAACATTTTCACATAAATGAAGTATGATTAAGTTTGAGTTTATCGATTCTTATAAATATTTGGGTATCTTGGTCGATTCGCATCTCTCTTTTAAGCCTCATGTTGAAAACTTGGTAAGGAAACTGAAAGACTCTCACTGGTACATTTTCATCTTTAAATCACTTCTTGGTCTGCTGCCTTCATACATCTCCTCCTACATGTCTCTGCGTGAGTGCAGCTACAGCGTGCGCTCTCAGGACATTATTACATGCAGTGTCCCCTCAGTGAGGACCAAACTTGGCAAAAGGGTCTTCTCTTACTCCGCTCCGGTTACCTGGAATATCTTGCAAAAAGATCTGAATTTGTCGACGCTGACCACTGCGTATAAGGGATTTTAAACAACTGCTAAGTTCATGACAAAAACCAAAGCAGACATCTTACTGTTTTTAGTATTTTACATTGTTTTAAAATGTAGCTGTTTTTGTTTCATTTTTATATAATTTCTTATATTTACTTTTCATTGTATATGATTTTATACGATTGTCTATTGTTGTCTGTACCTCATCTTTGTTCTTTGTTTAAAACAAGTCACTCTTCGAGGCTCAATGAGACTAACCTTTATAAAGGTTGAATGAAAAAAACGATAGCCCCCAAGTCCAAACTGATCACCGACTCTGTTAATTATTTTAATTAGAGTTGATTATTAGTCGATTTGGTAATATATATGACCAGACATACTGTAGTGATAGTGGTGTTGTATTGATGTAATATTCTCCATTTACCAGCTTATTTAACTATACATTATCAATTCTATAAAGATGACGATCAACTCTATATATGTCACCAAAATTCAACATGTCTTCTTGCTGACAATAACTGCTGCATGACCCATAATTTGTTTACATTTAATGGCCATAATTCAGAGGTCATCCTGTTTGGTGTATTATATATTGGTGGTTTATCAAGTCTGTCATGTTGCAATCTGATTGATGCTCAAGTCAAACGTATTGTTCAGTTGAGATTTTTTGAAACAGTTTTGAGGATTAGGCCATTTCTTTCAGTGGCTGATTTTAAGAAATTAATCTACGTCCATCCATTATCTTTAACAGCTTAATCTTTTCAGGGTTGCAGGGGTCGCTGGTGCCCATGTCCAGCTATCACTTTGTGAGAGGCACCCTGGACAGGTCGCAAGTCCATCACAGGGACACAAAGAGACAAACAACCATTCACTCATTAACATCTAGGGACAATTTAGAGTTACCAATCAGCCTAACATGAATGTTTTTGTTCTGTGGGAGAACATCGGAGTACCCGGAGAAAACCCACGCATGCACGGAGACAACATGCAAACTCCACCAAGAAAGGTCCACGGGCCGGGATTCAGTCCGGCAATCTTCTGTGCTGCCGTACTCCCCTTATTCTACATACGTTTGTGAATTATTGCTGTGTCTCATTAAATGCACAATATCCAGGAATTAGCCAATGCTCTCTCTGTTACCTCTAGTTGGTTCAAAACACTACAACTAGACTCAAGACTGGAACAAAAAGGAGGTCTAAAACCAAAACCAGTGTGACAGCAAACCTGCACAGACTCTTTGTTGGATTTTGTATAGAGTTGAAAATCTTCATGCCTACCTTTATAGTCTTTAAATGGCCTTGTCCCTGAATGCAACACCAGCCTTTAGACATGGCATTTACCTTTGTTAAATGTGCTATATAAATAAATCTGACTGAACTTGACATGACTTTCAGATCATTTGGATCTACAGTAGTCCCTCGTTTATTGCGGGGGACCCGTACACTGAAGACCCGCGATAACTGAAAAACCATGAAGTAGGAATTGTAGTACAAGTAGTAAGTAGTAGTTTATATATATATATATATATATATATATATATATATATATATATATACCCTTCCCACACTCTTACAATATTCTAAACAATGTTTCTAAACTCAATGCTCTAAAAGAGCACAGATTCTCATGATTTCAGCTCCCTGCCTCCGCTGCTCTTAACCACCTGCAAGCGCTCTTGGCCACGCCCACTTCTCTGCTCTGTGGACAGCTGATCAGCTGC